GTTATTAGCTGCCTGTGCATGTGAACCATGACCCGCGCGTCATCTCATGTGACTTCATAACTTCTTATTGTAGTATTGTAGAGGTAGTAGAGGTGTACCTTTAATGTGTAAGAGTGCAGATAATACAGTATGTACACTTTTGCTGTAATATGACGTAACATTTTCATGAGGACCCTATCATGTTAAGTAAGATAACAAAAGGGCCTCAACGAAAGTAACGATGCGACAAAAAGATTACCTGGAGCCTATCCTAAATGTGTGAAATCATGACAAAACTCGACTCCAAACGCCACGTCAGTCGATCAGTATGACAGAAAGGAAGACTCCAAAACTTTGCGCAAGTCGTTTGAGGCACGCCCTGTAAAAATACTGGTTCTTTGTGTAGTCAAATTCCTCAGCATTGGGAGGGGGGAGGTTAGGGACCATGTTGTCAGACAAAAACTACCACATCTGGTGTTGGCAAAACCGTCCAACAGTATAATGCTTTTGTGCATGAAAACGTGCACCTGACAAAATGTGTCTTTTTCTATGAGTCCATTACATCGAATATGAAGTCAAACTAGAAATAATCTCCACATGAGACTGAGAAGATGAAGCTATTTCAGATTCATTCCGTCACGAGAGAGAGTCAGTGTCTGTACATTAACCATGCAATGAAGATTAATCACCTACCGACGTCAGCTGACATGAACTACATCTAGGGACGCGGCGCACAGTTCACTAGTACCTCAGAACCAATCTTATTGTATCTAGTATATAGTAGACTGGGCTCATTCCTCAAGCTAACCGACATCTAGCACACCGCAGTCTCCCTCTAGTAATTATAAAACATCTGAAGACGCATAGTTGTGACAAGCTGAATAAAAGTTTTAAAGGTGAACTTTGCGGCTGCAGATGTCTTACTGAATGACATACAAATGTACTATGGCATGTTTAGTCTTTGAAGGTTTCAGACATTATCAAACAACACACATTTGGGGGGAAAATGGAAACATACGTCCCCTCAGTATCTGTAATGTTAGTATGAGATTATTTCTACCAGGCCATTTGACGTGTCAGAACGTTTGCAAAAGATTTTTTTTATAAGAAAGAAAAGATTTTTTCCTTTGATCATCTAGATGGCAAGCCCGCAAGTTAAGCGACTGTGCACGTGGTAAACATAGCCATTTTGTTTGTAACAAAATGAAACACAAACATTGGTCAAGGAATGATGTCAAGGTAGATACAATAGAGCCTCAACAAAAGTTGTTGTGTAAAAAATATTGACTGGAACCTATCATTATACCGAAATGTGTTAAACTCTGTTAAAAGCCATTGAAACACCACGTCAGTAGAACAGTTTGTCTGTATGAGAGTAAGGACGAAACGATATTGTTATAAGACGACAGCGAAACATGGTGCAAGCTATTGCGATATTACTGATGTTGGAAATATCATAACTGCATCCGGCAAATCTCGTGTCCTGCTCAGATAGATTTATTTTTTTATTTTTATTACCTTCGCCAAGAAGGTTATGTTTTCAGTAGCGTTTGTCTGTGTGTGTGTTTGTGTGTGTGTGGTTTAGGAAGATAACTCGAGAAGCAGTAGATGGATTGGAATGAAACTTGGTAGGTGGGTAGGTCTTAATGAGGCCTAGAAATGATTAGATTTTGGGCCCCCTGGCGGCTTTCCTAGGTACTGCAGCTGAACTTCCGGTTTTGATATCTCATGTTCTGGACATGCTAGGGTCACGAATTTTGATTGGTAGATAGCTCTTGGAGTAGGAAAGAAGTGACATGAGTTTGGGTCCCCTAGCGCCTTGTTCTGGAACTGCAGGAGCATTTGTTAGAAAAAATTTGAAGGACTATAACTTAAGAACCGGTTGACGTATTGTCGTGATTTTTGGTATGTAGGTAGTTGAAGTGATGCTTGACATAATCAGATGGCAATTATGCAAATCAGGAGCTAATTTGCATAATTAATGAGGAAATTCTATAAATCTGCTTTGTTCGATAATAGAACTATGAAACACTTGTGACATCTACTTGAGAACGGGGAAAACATCTGAGGATATAGATTATGTAAATGAGGACCTAATTTGCATAACTAATGGCAAATTCTTATAATTCCATAGTTGTAACTTCTGCACCCCGAATTTCATACTTGCCACATTTGGAAGTTAAGTGAAGGTGAATATCAATAAACATAATTTATTCAAATCATGACCTCATTTGCATAATT